TATTTTTATATAGTCAGCATGTTTCTTCTTTTGTGGTTTTTGGGTTTTTTTTTCTCTTTTGTAGAAAGCTTTCTCTATCTTCTAGGTTATAATGTTTTCTTTTAATATCTTTTACATTTTACCTTTTGGTCTTTAATAAATTGGGAATATGTTTTTATATATCCTGTGAACACTTTTTTCCCCTGGTGTATGAGATATGCCTGCACTATTAAACTATTTTATTTAGAACTCTTTCAGTTTCTTATGACTTAAAACCTCAACAAAATTCCAAAGATGGGACTGGTTTAGGCAAGGCTTGATACAGTGACAAAAGTAATAATGCTTCCTCCCCTTTTCTCATTTCTGCCCTTTTGGATGTTGTATTTTTTCTTATAACCCTTTCTGTGTCATTCCTCTGTCTGTCTTGTGTGTTTTACTCTGATTGTAGATCCCTCCTTTATGGTCACACAATGACTGAAAGTTTTAGGCCTTACTTCCTAATACCCCTCGAGAAGAGAAGGGGGGTCCCTTTCTGAAGATTTCTCTAGAGAGCGAATTTCTTTTCTGAAATCCCCAAGTAAATTACTCCTTTGATTGCTGGCTCTGATTAAGTCATGTATTTGTTCCTGAATCTGTCTCTGTGAACTTGGACCAGGGAGTGTAGGGCGGGACAAACTGATTAGCTTAAGCCAGTTTGGATTTACCTCTGTGATGAGCATGGAATTTAAGTCTTTCTCAGTCACATGACTGAGAGTGGGAAAAGGGCTATTTCACAGGTAATTTTAGTACTGTCTCCAGAAGAAGGGGGAACAGATGCCAGATAATCAAATAACAGGTAACCGTGGCATGACCCCATCTTCTTCCTACTAAACGTAAATGGTACCTTTTCAATTTATTATGATCTGTTTCTGCATTTGCTATTTTCTTCTATCTGTAGTCTGTAAGAGTGCTCATTTGCCCATTTTTCCTGTCCTACAAACATACAGCTTCATTAATAGCAGCTTAGAGTACAATTTAATCTTCTTAAGTCTCCCATCATTTTTTCGTAGAAATTTCTTGGCAACTTTTAATATATTTCTTTGACAGAAACTTTAGGATCCTGATTGGAATCGCATTATTTGTATTTTTAACATGCACATATCCAAATTGGGTCAACATAGCTGTGAAAATCAACCTGGAGATGCCGAACACTTCCTTCAGCAAAAGGTTTTTCTGTATTTTTGTTGTTGTTCTCCACCTGGTGTTGTTAGGGGGAACAAACCTTCCAGTTTTTGACCCTCAGTACTTTCATAGTACTAAAAGACAGTGGATTCAATGGCCCTGCTCTCTTATCTTTAGGTATATCCAAGATATCTAATAGCCTCTTCTAGCAGGTTTATTTTTGGTTATTGAATAACAACGACAGAGACCTGAGAGGGAGAAGAGTTGGAAATATGCAATTAAGCTGCTGTTTACCTTAAGTATTGTGAGAAATTAAAAAAATTTAAGGACACCACACATCTTTAGAGACTCCTGACGCCTGATTGTTTCCAATTTGATTGCTTCCATATGAACTTTCTGTGTGTTTGCTTACTACTTGTATTTTTTGTATGAAATATTCTAATAGTTTATCTAACAATGTTTGTGATATTTTCCTTAGATATATGAACACTGTCTTTAAGTATTATAGCACTGTCTTTAAATATTAATACTACAGCTCTTAACCTTATGCTAATACCTGATTTTTAACAATGTTTTTCCTACTGCCTTACTTTTATTTTCTATATTATACTGTTCTTATTTAGAAGTTCTTAATTTTAATATTTTCTAATTTCTTGATGTTTTTATAATTCCTGTTGCATAAAAACTAAAGGTTAATCATCCGAGATAAACATTATTTTACTTAATTTTATGCTATTCAATTTTGATATTTTATATTGAACTATTTAATGCATATGATTTCATTTGTTATATGTTAAAAAGTGTGCATCTGATCTACAGTTCTCTTTCCTCTTTCTTAATATGGGAGTAATTATCTTAAACAATAAACTAACATTAGGATCAGTGGTAAAATATTAGTGCCATTCCCTTAACAAAGGGAACAAGCAACAATGCCCGTTAATAATTTTTATTCCTATTTGTCAGATATGTACAGAAAGACAGGAAAATGAAATATGGTTACAATTAGAAAATATATTTACATTTTTTACAGATAATTTATCATATGCCTAAAATTCTAGAAAATATGGTAAATGTATAGTGGAATTAATAAACATCAAATCAAGTTGCTACATACATAATGAATATTCATAAGCCTATTAATACCTTTCTAAGTAATGTCTTGATAGGTTTAAATAGAAGAGATCATGGCAATGTGATAGTTTCATGACCCAAATTCAGTCTGGTGCATCAGTATGCAAGAAAATTCATACTTTTTATTTGAACGTGTGTGTGTGTGTGTGTGTGTGTGTGTGTGTGTGTGTTTTCGTTTTTTACCTCTGGACAATTGTGAAGCTTGGGCTAAATAAAATAGAATGCTTACAAAATATATTTGTGATACTACTGTATTTTACTTGACTTACTTGTTAGATACTGGATTGGGATTAAGGAATTATTTTTTCTTTAGATAGATAGGAATGAATTTTACATCTGTTTTCTCCATGGCAGCCTCTTTCTGTATTGATAGACTTTTTATAGTTTATAAAATGTGTGTAAGTCAAAGGAATACTAACCGATTAATTTTATCTTAAGTCAGTGTTAAATAGGATATTCAGAGACAGAAGCTAATCATTGTATTCTTCGTCATCGTCTTTTTGTTTTGCAGTGGAACTTCCCCTCTTGCATGCCTGAATGCAATGCTACACACAAATTCCAGAGGTGAAGAGGGCATCTTCTATAAGGTTCCGGGCAGAATGGGAGTATATACTTTGAAGGTAAATATTTTTGTTGGGGAATCATTTAAAAAGAAAAAACAAGAAGCGATGACATAAAAAATAGTGTTTGAGTCATAGAGCTAGAATTCTGTTCTTGAATAGCTTAGTTTTAGGAAGAGGTAGTATTTTCAACCTTATACCCAATACATTTTTTTAACTAATCTATAACTATCTATAGGTAGATCAGAGAAGTAACTTTATTTTTATTCTTTATCATAATCTTACCTTGGAAGGATGAAATTTAAATGACCTTCAATGACTTTTTAAAGAGCCTCAGAACATTTGAATAATAATTGAGTGTTACTGTGGAGCATTGTGGATTACTTTCTCATTTAATTATCCACCACAATTCACAGTTGTGGTTATTTTTCCTTATTTATAATGGAGAATGCCAAAGTTAAGAAGATTGGATTTTCTTGGCCATTGTTGGCCAGATAGTATCAGAACAAGAATATGAAACCAGATCTGATTGAACTCCCAAGCTCATATTCTTTCTAACATAACAAGCTTACTAATTTCTGATTCCTGCACTGAGAAGGAACCTTTACTTATCAGTGTCCCTTCACTTACAAACAGGAAAACCAACTCAAATGAGCTCGAGTAGGACAGAATTTACTAGCTCATGTAACTCAAAATTCTAGGGAAACCCAAGCTAGATCCAGGAGTTCAAGCAATGTCATCAGGGTTTGGTCTCTCCACTTTCTTTTGGCTTCATTTTCAGTCAGGCTCTCTCCTCATGGGACATAACTTCACTCTGTCACTCCACTCTGCAAGCTATAAGTCTGGAGAGAAAAGAGTTAAAGAACTAAAGCAGGAGCCTCTTACAATTCTGATTTGGCTTAATTTTAATTAGTCTTAGATTCATCATCACCCTTGATATGAGATTAAGATTAAGGCCGCTCAAGCAAGGTGAATTGAGGAGAGAGGGTTTTCCCCAAAGGAAATTTATGAGCAGAAGGAGAATGAATACTTGGCAGGCAATGACTGTGTCCTCTATATATGTATTACCTTTTTAGCTTTGTGCTATGCTCAGTGGTTGTGTGGAGCCCACTAACATTAAAAAGATCTAATCTACCTACCTACCTCTTTTTTATATACTTTGTTGAACTTCCTGGGGTGATAGGGCTTTACTCCCACATGGAGCTTTCTGCATTTCTTTTTGGTTTTAGCTGTTCCATATTGTTAATATAATTGATTAAATGTGCCTGCTCTATTGTAGAGATAGGGACAAAAACCCAAAGTGTTTTTCCTGTTCTCATACACTACTCAGTGCAGTACTTCTGACACCAGATGTATGGGATTTTCTCCTTACATACCATGCAATTGTACAGTGGACACCAGCTGGGTGTCCTCTAATTCAACTCATTTCTAACACTGTCTGGAGATAGTGTCAGATCCCACAGGTTGAGGGCTTAGTCCCACCAGACTGCCGCCTATTTCAGATGCCAATCATGAGTCCCAGGTTGTGACCTGTACTTCTGACTGACTTGCTATAAATTGGGATTCCACCCTCGGGTTTGATTAATTTGCTAGGATGGCTCACAGAACTCAGAGAAATGCTTTACTTGTATTTACTCATTTATTATAAAGTATATTACAGAGGATACAGATGAACAGCCAGATGGAAGAAATGTATAGGGTGAGGTATGTGGGAAGGTATACAGAGCTTCCTTGCCTTCCCGATGTGCTTCAGTGCCCGATGCTTCCTTGTGTTCAGCTATCTCTTTTTTTTTTTTTTTGAGACAGAGTCTCACTGTGTTGCCCAGGCTAGAGTGAGTGCCATGGCGTCAGCCTAGCTCACAGCAACCTCAAACTCCTGGGCTCAAGCAATCCTCTGTCTCAGCCTTCCGAGTAGCTGGGACTACAGGCATGCACCACCATGCCCAGCTAATTTTTTCT